TATTAATAACTTTTATTTGCTTTTTTCCATATATACATGTTGGGAATCCACCAAGGCGGATTACCCCCACTTAAGCAAATCATAACATAAAGCACCTTTACTTTCAATGTTTACAACTTTCTGTTCCAATATTTAATTATCAATGGCCATACACCTACTTCGCCAAGTATACTATGAACCAATCATAGCGCTTACACTGCAATATCAACATATTGTTTTACACATTTCCTTGTTAAACCCCAGGCCCAGGGTACTCAAGCCTGGCCAAAATCGTCTATGCACATTACCGAGAGAACCAACGATGCATGCTATTACTTCACATTTATATCCTATAGTTTCAATAATATCCCTAATTAGAACATAATATGCTGCTTTCGTGTTATAACATTCGTCAAGGAATGCATTGTACGGTGTCGAGATTTCTATTACGTAACATCTATTTTTACTGTTATCAACTATTAATATATCTGGTTCTCTGTGTTCTATTGCCTGCAATTGGTTATCATCAATAAGACCAAACATATTACTTTTACTATTTGATTTTCAAACACTTGTACTTTATCTAATTTAATCTTACAATTTTCTCTGACAGTATGATTAACTATTCGATCATGACGGGCAATATTGGGTTTTCTAAAGTTCATACATCTATTTAATACATATGACACGGTTTCGTATGTGTTATTACAAAGTTTGAACTTTTTTTCATAAGCATTGGGGTAGTAAAGATTTAACAACGAGTGGCATATGATATATATATATATATATATATATATATATATATATATATATAGGCCTATACATATACATATATATATATGTTATTATGTATATGTATATATATGTGTATATACACACACATACACACATATATGTGTATATATATGTGTATATACATATGTGTGTATATATATATGTGTATATATATGTGTGTATATATGTGTATATATATGTGTATATATATATATGTGTATATATATGTGTATTATATGTGTGTGTATATATAGGCCTATGTTTACACAAATCGTACGTGTTATCACTGAAGAACGTGAGTGCTCAAAATATTTTAAAATGTTCATATCTATAGTGTTGACGATACATAAATCTTAATAGAGATAAGCTCAAAACAATCTTGCGGTAATGCTATAATTATATTTATTACACATATATTATTATATATGCAATTTAAATTTAAATTGGCAACGTATATAGAAATTTAAATATGTCAGTATAGTGACACACTAGCATTCAAAATAGCAAGAGACCAACGCAAAAATATAATTCAGAAAGACAAGACAACCTGCTGAAACACTCAGACGATAACAATATTATCAAATAACAAATTCTTACTTATCACGTTATATTTAGCACTCATAAAATTACTAAACAATAAAGTGATATATTGCTTTAATAATAACTCAGAAATGTGTGGCTTGGCGATTAGTATAAAGTTGAAACAGTTTGTAGACCTTGAATTGGAAATATCATGACCATTACAAATGAATTAATGACACTATATCAAAGCAAGTAGAGCCAATGCATTCTGATCACTTGGAATACCTACAATCATACATGTCATGTAACGCAATGCTGATATGCTGATATTAACAAAATGCAGTCGATGTTCAAAAGAAGTATGACGTCATCGTACAGCAGCCCGTCATATGTCAATTGACGTCGGAACCATCATTTAATCAAATTTCAAAAATAAACTTGAGACACCCAGTAGATGAGAAAATTAAGTGGAATACTGTAAGTTTATAATATAAAACGATTTTCAATGAACTGGAAACAGGCGTCATGCACACCAGCTTTTTCTGATGTGTATGTGAATTACAATCATTATCATCATCATCATCATCATCATCCTCTTTTGCTTCCTGCTCCTCAACGTCATCATCAGTACCATCCTCATCACTATAATTCCATTATCATCAGCATCAAAATCATGATCATGATCATCATAATCATCAAAACCATAACCATCACTATCATCATTACATTCATCGTTTATATTTATCATTATTAGGTTATTATTATTATTATTATTATTATTATTATTATTATTATTATTATTATTAAGGTTATTATTATTAATAATAAAGTTTTTTTTTAAATTAACACAAAACAATCTATATTTCCTATTTGTTAACACAAAATTATTAATCCTTATACCCGGATTGATGAGACATAGAGTTTTGTCTTCAGTATTACAACCATAAATTCTTGGCCTTTTATTCAGCTTCTCGTTATGACAACAATATCTTACGTTGAAACTTGTAGCAGGTAACTTAATTAACAAAATATACACAATCAACAATAGGCTTATTGTGAACCGGGTTCGGATTACGCAAAATTTCGTTCTTATGTAGCCTTGTCCACCTCCGTAATGAAGTACAAAATCAAATTATGAAGGAAATTATCATCATATTTAGAGGAATTACATTCTGAAGAGAACAATACTACCAGCAGTACACCACCTCTCTGTCAATAATGTTATTTCATAACCAATTGTAATGTCCTACAAAAAAATGTCAGCAGGCCCATATCTCTAAATATATCTTATTGCTGATGTATCGTTGGTGCGTGTGTGTGTGTGTGTGTGTGTGTTGGAAGGGCGTGGGGGGTGGGATCAATATACAATGCCATTGTATACACACCAATTTAGCTGTACACTTTTTTTTATAAGAACCTGTAAAATTATGCCTAGGCTCAGTGTTATTATTTTTTTTTCAGGGTCAAAACTTTCTTATTTTGTTCGTATTTTTACAAACTTTTCAAAACATAGAAAATTATTGTTTTACAGTCAGTATATTACTTTACTGTATTATAGAGGGTATTACATAGTCACACCTACTGCAAATAAGGTACAGATAGATTTGTTGGTTTTCTCTTAAAAAAATAAATAGAAACCTCATTTTTTTTTTATCTTAATTAAGGTATTTCAACCTCAATGTTCCTATAAAATGTGTTCTTATAAAAAAAAAAGTGTATTTAGATGTTATATGAATACAGTAATTAACTTTGTTCGTATCTTGAAATCATATTTCATTGTATGACTATCTACTAGGATGGTCTTTATGTTGATATCATCTAGTATTTATTTATTTACCTAATTAATCTATAAGTGTTAGAACCGGCTTACGTAAGCGATAAAACTTGAGTATTTCCATAAAGCATGAAAAATAACTTAAGGTAAATACCAAAAAAGTTAAAGATACAAAAAGGTGATCCTTATAAGGATGTATTGTCCCTTGCTAATGTCAAAAAATCATAAAAAATAATTTTGAAATAAACTTACTCATATTGCAATAGCATACAAATCATTAACTTGTGCATAAAAATTATTGAATTTAAAAAATGTGTACCCTGATTTTTAAACAAAAAATAATAAAAATAATAAAACACTTTCAGTGACTGGAAGTGTTTCTATCATTTTTCGCTGTAAACTGATGGGTAGACATTTTTTTAAATACACTAATTTCTATGTTCAAGTTGATAACTTTTATGATTTATGATTTTTATGATAAGTTAATTTCAAAAAATATTTTTATGATTCTTTTGGTATTTAGCAAGAGACAATACATCTTTAAATAATAGCAAAAACGAATACAAATGACGATAATGAACTATTTTAGAGGGCTGGTAAAATTACTACAGAACTGATATATGAAGCGGATCAGCTTTATCCCAACACAAAATTATTATGTAGATATATCTGATATAGATTACCGTATTCATTTTACCTTGTTCATTCTTCTTTGATACAACATATATATTAGTGAATATTTTCATTTGCATTAATCAGTTAATAAATAAATAAATAAATTATTATGTGTTTTTTTGTAATTCTTTTTTGGCCTAATCATAATGAGCTCAACAACGGTCAGTTCGGCCAATATTTTCGACTCTAAGCTAAATAACACATTTTACTCTTTGATTTCTCTGTTATTACTTTGCTTTTATCTATTTTAATTTTTACCCCTATGATGTTTGGCATGATGAAAACACAGCTCTTGACGTAACTGAAACACAGTTCCTTTGAGTAACTCAAAAGCTATCCTTTTTATGTGACTGGGAAAGACATTTCCATTAAGGTTGCTAATATAAACACAGTCCTTTTAAGGTTACTGGCACATGCAGTTACTTTAATGTTACTGACAAACATAGTCTCTTTAATGTTATCGGCAC